GTCGACGACCTCATGTCAAGTCATATGATGGCCAAGGTGAATGATGATTTCCTGGCCTGGTGCAACGAGAAGTATGGTACCTACGGTGCTGTCAAAGCAACCAGAGGACCCAAGCACGACTATCTAGGGATGACGATTGATTTTTCGGAGCCTGGCAAAAGTCAAGATCGATATGATTGACTATTTGACCAAGGTGCTCGAAGAGTTCCTGTAAACTTTGATCATGTTCGTACTGTTCCGAGTGCAGCCCCAGCTGATTTGTTTCTGTGGGTGACGGTGACAATCTGGACCCTGATACGAAGGATACCTTCCACACGAACACAGCCAAGCTACTCTTTGCCTGTAAGCGTGCACGTCCAGATATGCAAAATTGACTACCGTCCTTTGTACTCGAGTGAAACAGCCGAACCAGAACGATTGGGGAAAACTTCTCCAAAGGCCTCAAGTTTATTCAACAGACTTTGAATGACAAAGCTCATCCTCCATGCTGACGACGTTCGTATTATCCGATGGTGGGTTGACGCGAGTTTTGCTGTTCATCCCGACTATCGATCCCATACTGGAGGAGTGCTCAGTTTCGGCCGCGGTGCACCCATTGCTGTCTCTAGCAAGCAGAAGCTCAACGCTCGCAGCAGTACCGACACCGAACTCATTGGAGCCGAAGTGTTATGAGTCCTTTGTTGTGGACCAAGTTATTTCTGAAGGCTCAAGGTGTTGATGTTCAGGAGAACATCCTTTATCAAGACCACCAAGAAGAGTGCTATCATTCTCGCTCGAGAATGGTAAGAGCAGCGCCGGTAAGCGTACTCGTGCTCTTAATGTGCGTTTCTTCTTTATTCACGACCAAGTGAAGCAGGGAAATGTCGAGTGGTGTATTGTCCCACACAGGAATGCCGGGGATTTTCTTACGAAACCCCTCAAGGTGCCCTATTCCATGCGCATCGCGCTTTTATTATGGGGCATCCTCCCATTTAGTTAGTTTTAATCGTTCCGTGGCATCCATTAGGGAACCACGGCAGGAGTGTGTTGGCCGGTCTAGATATTTAGCGGACCCGGATAAGAAAAAGACCGCACCACCGTAGGAATTTAAGGAAACTGGCATTCTCAGATCCAGACTTCAAGGCGACCAGCCAGAAAGATCACTTTTTCTTCACAGCTCGCCCAAATCAACAAATTAACCTTGATATTACTAGTAGCTGCAGTGTTATTAGACCCAACAAAAAGGAAAATTGGTGTCGGGCGGCTGCAACTCTGGTTCAGAAAAAGTGAACCTGATTTGTAGCCGCCCGATTAGTAGTCCTTCTAGCTAGTCATCAACACCACATAGGCACACCACCTGTGCACCCGACACTTCGGTCCACCACCTCATCCTTGGATGGGTGGCTCTCCCGGATTCCTGTCCGTCAGTCTCCTTATGGTCGGCTCCCTGTTAACTCATACTCTCCGTTCTGTAGAATCTATTCATTCCCTGTCTGGGAAGGTGGGCGATTCCTAAATGCAGAATCGGATCGAATCCAGTCGAATCGAATCGAATCAGAATCTGCCGTTGCCTGCCAAGGACGCAACGACACACGACACCTTGCCCATCATCCATCCAAAGATCAAAGATCCACCCCAGTTTCCCAACTCTCAACACCTTTTCCTGACACTCAAGTAGTATCAGGTAGTCCGTCGCTGCAGTCTAACACCTTTTGTGTTCATTGGAACACCGTCTCTACTGAGTGGAGCCAAAGGATTTGCCGTTGAATCAGGCTCCAAACACCTTTTGTCCAATCCTCGTTTTTTTCACCACGGTACATCGGATTGATCGCCCTATCAGGTAGAAAGATCCATGTCGTTGGGCAGCTGTAGTTTGGAAAGCTGGTCGATTTCTTCGCTTGAGAAAACTGCATCCAAAATCCTCAAGGCTCATAAAATAGAGACGACCTGAACTGAAAGAGCTCGCTCCAGATTTACCACAGTTCAACTCTTTGAACTGTGGCAAGCAGGATATCGATTAATTGAGTTGGAATTCAACCACGATACGAGGACACCAATCTGTTATCATGTCTGAAGAAGGTGACACCACACAGCCACGTTATCGTGGAGGATTCTCCAGTTCGATTTGGGATGGTCTCTTTGAGAATCATGACGAGATCCACTCGGATTGCTGTGCTCTAACTTGCTGTGGAATCTTGCTTTATGATCGAAGTGCGTATCTTCTGACGGACCAGCGGCCCTCCTGGAAAGGTCGCTGCTGCAGTGCATTCATGTACTGTTGTGTACTGCTGGCTCTCTTTCTGGTGGCTCTTTTCCGTATCGCACTACGAACTCAACACGATGATGGAAGAAAAGGACATGATTCCACCCTGGCTCCTCAGGACGTGGAATTTGACAACATGTTGGAAAAGGCTGCCTATATCTTGCTGATTTTGTTCGCGGCGTTATCCTTTTACTTTTTGTATTCAGCAGTCAATCATCGCCTCCACTTGAGACGAGCTCTCATGTGCAAGATGTACGAAGAACGCGGTGAGCCAGAAAGCCGAGTCGAAACGGAGGTGCCAACTGCCGCCACACCTCTGGTTCCCAGCAACAACAACAACAATCTGCAAACCTTCTTGCAAGCAGAAGAATCCTACATGGTGTCGTCGACTTCTGTTTGTGGATGCCTTGGCATAGATGGAACTCCACCAGGCAACAACCCAGCAGCAGCGGACACGTGCTATTGGATGTGGAAGGCACTCGGGGCCATGTTTTGTGGAGCCTGTTGTAGTTGTTGGTGTCAATGCTGTGGATTGTGTGCCATGGCACAAGAAGATCGAGAATTGCAACGCATGTTGCCAAAAAAGAACTTTCAAATGGACTATATTACATTTCAACCCTTTGAAGCGTACTTTCCCAAGCTACAGCAATTGCGAGACGACAGAGTCAACAATCCCTTTGCTCACATGAAGGAGCTGTCACAGCTTTCCAGTCATCTGACGCGTATTTTTCTGATTGTGTTGGCATTCCTGGCGGTGCTGGCACTTTCCGGGTTGGATCCTTTGTTTCAACTGCCGAATCTTGGGGTTGTCGGTTTGCTATTTCTACAAGCTTTTATCATTATCACATTGGTTCACTGGATCTGGAACCGATTTGATATATCCTTTGATGCGCTTGTCAAGTTCTTTGCTAGTGGTTTCCTACTGGGCACAACAAATGCGTTGGTGTATGAAACAATCGTGTCTACCCTATTGAGTGCAGGAGGAATCGTTCTTGGCTGGGTTTGGCTCTTCTTTATGGTATTGACTGGCACAGTGGATGTCGATGATGATGACAATGCTCCCAGTACCGGCTCCTCTTTGACTTATGCGCTCAATTACTATGCAATGAAAGCGCACAAAGAAGACCCCACACTGGAGGCTCCAGTGCTCCCTGCGTGGGTGCTAGTCATCATGGCGTTCCTGAACGCTTTTGTTGTTGCTGCATTGGCAAGTTGTGTGGTGCTGGCTTGTTCCCAATATTGTACGCGTCACCAGTCTGCCCTAACTGCTTCCCTTGCTTGCACACACTCACGCGACAAATAGGTGGAAGAGACCGTGAAGTACTTTGGTTACTGGATGGTGGAACACCCCGACTTGATGGTTCCATGTGAGGCACCTCCTACTCATAGCGACGAGAATGGCAATAATGATCGGGGTGAAGCTTCTGAGGCTGAGGTTTCCACTGATGGCTCCAGTCTCACCGTTCCAACCTCTCGGTCCCTCAGATCTGTCGGAGCTGGAATCACAATCGCCATGGTTACGACCGCTTGTGGGTTTGCGTGCTGCGAAAACTTTCTCTATGTGTTCTTTTACAGCGGCCCGACTTCAGCAGCGCAAGAAGTGGGAACCTTGGTGGTCCGGTCCATGTTTCCTGTCCATCCTCTTGCAGCTGCCCTTCAATCCATTGGCGTTTGCCGTCGTGATCTAGAGAAAGATCACTCAATGGGCATGGGAAAGGTTCTTTTGCCAGCGCTCTTGCTACATGGATTCTTCGACTTCTCTCTCATGTTCCTTCAATTGTTGACCCAGTCATCAATACTGGGATGGGTGGGAAGCTGGTTTATTCAATCCGCGGTCGGAAAAGTTCCCACAGAACCAAGCACACCACTTGACGATCCTTCACAAGAGGAAGTGACAGCATCGATGGCTGCAATGACTTCCTGCGTGATGACTGTGTGCGTCGGTTTTATCTACTACTTTGCCATGGCCATTGCGCAGAGGAAACGCCTCGTTGAGCTTGACGAGGAGAGGCGACGAACCGACGGATATGAGCAGCTTCATTGATGCACACGCTTGAAAGTGTCATTCGTTGGTGTACGAAATTCATCGTTGAACCAATGACCAGGGTGCCTTGAAGCTTGGCATGCAAGCAGATGCAACCAAGGGAATGGAATCTTTGTTTCCTGCTCTGCTGCACCAGCCAGTGCCCGTGGCTGCAGACAAGGTTCGCTTCTATGGAAACCTGGAGTTGGCTACTATCCACTACAATTCCACTCCACTTGCATTCAAGTTGCAACCGAACTCACACCAAAAGGCACTGATAATGGTCTATAGCTTTTGGTCTCTTCGACTCTACTGTATGCCACTGTGACGCTAGCCAGCGGTACCGTAACGGTACAGATTGAATTCTTGCAACATGCGTACATGTACTGTACAGTCCAATAGCCTCCTGATGTACCGGTAGACTATCGTACATGTACTAGCTAGCAAAGCAGAGATGCAACCCAAAAGCCGGTAGACGGCTGCCTTCTCCATGAAGCAAGGGCCAGTGAGTGGTTGCTTGCATATCTTGACTAAGCTGGGAGTGCAAAGCAGCCATGCTGGTTGAGAAAGAGGCGATACAAGCAGATGGTAGAGAATGAAATCAATTTTGCTCGGGTTTCGGTCTTGGTGTGCAAGCTGTAATGCTCTTGATCGCGAAGCACAAACGCACAAACAGCCCCTCACCAAGTCGACAGTCGTTTGCGGGAGGGTCTCTTCGTGATGCACATCGCCACAATCTACGCAAGAAAATTTGCTGGTGCTTTTGTCGGTATGTGGAATATTAAAAAGACCACTCATAGTACATGTTCCGGTACAGTCTGTTCTCTCTCATATTTACTTTCTTTATCCTTTTTAAAAATTGGAGGGGCGGTGTACCGGTAGGTAGAAAATCCCTGTAGAACTTCTGTACCTGGTACCCCGCACAGCCACAAAACCCAAAGGTTGGGTTACCCCCTGTTGTATGGTGTGCAGACACCCCACTCAATTTATGTTTTGGGGGTACCCCTACAGTTGTGGGGAGATCCCTACCTTAATTCGGTTGAGTCGAGTCATGAATGACAGAATCTAGAGATCTTGAAATCCCTTAACTCTAACCTTCTCATTTGGGGTACCTCGGTAGCGGTTCTAGTACTAGTTCTACATGGACCTACACAACGCACACACCACAGGCACAAAGGCAAGTGGGGGGGGAGGTACCTACCTAAAGTGCTGTGCAGGACCGTCCGATGGTTTTGGCTAAGGATTTTAAAAAAAAATTGAAACTCCCACGACTGACAACATCCTCTTAAACATCCTTTTAAAATCCTCTTTTAAAAATCTTCAACATCCCCTTAAACATTCTCTTAAATAAACATCCTTTTAACAACATCCTTTTAAAGCTTCGAAACATCCTCCTAAGCCTTCATTGAAACACCATAGGACTTCCTCTTATTATGAATGAAGATCCCTTTAAATAAACATCCTCTTAACAACATCCTCTTAAATACTCAACATCCTCTTAAACATCCTCTTAAATCTTCACATCCTTTTACATCCTCTTATTAACAAGAACGAGTCAGTCGTGGCAATTTTTTACAGCCTGAGCAGGACCGTCCGACGGTTTTCACTCAGGATTTTAAAAACTTGAAATTTCCACGACTGAAGATCGTTTGAAAACATGCCCTTTAAAAACATACACTTATCACGAATGAACATGCCCTTAAATAAATATGCCCTTAAAACATGCCCTTAAATCCGCAACATGCCCTTAAACATGCCCTTAATAAACATGCCCTTAAAAACATGCCCTTAAATGAGAACCAGTCGTGACAGTTTTTTAAAGCCTGAGCGAAAACCGTCGGACGGTCCAGCGGACCTTGTCCCCTTCCAGATTAACCGATTGCCGTGGAAGGGGGGAAAGGGGGGAAGGAGCGAGAGTTCTCATTTGTCAGCGCAGCTTTCTTAACCTTAAGAGCATCAGCTATCCAACCTAGTTTTAAGAATATGTCTAATGAAGCATGATCAAAAGACTTAAGGGAACGTTTTAAGCCAGCTTAATCTATCTAAGATAAAGTGGCTCTACCTTGAGTATATCTAGACAGTTTCAGAACAACAAACTCATCAACCTTGCAACTCAAAGTTGCTAAAGCATGGGACTCTAGAATGGCAATATGCCCACTCTAGAAGACGGGTCAAAATCTAAAGTTTCCACTAAGGGTATATACAAGGCAGGACTGTGCCTCAGTGGACCCATATTCGACTTGGGTGGCCCATAGAATTATATATGCTGACCTGTTTTTTGTTGTCGTGAAAGTCGCCCAAAACCAAAAAAGCTTGTTATTTGGCAACCTGATGGCCTATGAAAGTGGTCTTTGGATGGTTGGTTGTTGCTTGTAGTATCAAAACTTGAATCTCCTCAAGTGCTTCCACGAAATTCCAAGTAGAAGTCTTCCGACAAGGCAGCTCTTTGGGTCGAGCCAAAACGGAAGAAATCCAAGGCCAAAAGTAGGCACAACTCAATCAGTTTCTGACCATCTCTGGTGGTGTCTTGACATCTGAAGTTGGGTGCATACACCCCAACGTAAATCCTGTGGCTTGGTTTGGTGTCAAAAGAGCCGAAAGGCACTCTTCTGGAGCCAACTCGTGATTTTGGGCGGATTTCTCACGATGAAATTAGCAATAGGAGCCTCTATGGGTGCGCCACAGCTTTGCTGGTTTAGTCGGATGGAAACAATGCTTTTGATCGTGTACAGTCAATCAGTACACACAGCATTGCAGCCATGAGACAATTTGTATATAGCTGAGGCATGCCTATGTGTTCCAGAGCATATAGCCTTCAGTCTAGATACAATGGAATGTTCCAGACCAACAGTCCTCTCCTAGGATCTCCAACAGTAGGATATCCTCTCCAAAAGAGCCAGTTCTGTCAACTGGAGTGAAATCGTGGTAATGGTGTTTTTAGCTTATAGTAAGAAAGATAGTAATGAAAGAGTAACCCCTGAGACCCAGTAGCACCCTCAGCCCTGCAGTAGATAGATTCCTGTGTGGTATGTGCTAGGGCAATGTAACCAGCTCCCCAAGTACTTTGAAGTAGTGATTGGGTAGCATTGATCCAGCTCTTTTGAGCTGGCCTTTCAGCCAGTGGAGGAGATCTTCATCAACCAGAGATCTCCCTCCCAGCTCTTGTGTTCCTACAACTGAGTTCCCTGGCGGAGATTCATAGGATTAACATTTTCGCATAGACACACAAGAGTGGCTACTCGCAGTGAAGAAGAGTGGAAGAGTAGAAGCCTCGAGTGGAAGCCTCGAACCGACAAGAAAATCCGGATCGTGCCGAAAACTGGAATCTCGACCGATTTGAGTGGAACCAAGACGGTCACCTACTAACCTGAGGGTGCTTGAGACGGTACACCAACCAGTCTCTTGTTAATCGGCTTGGTTACGGCAGCCGCGAGTGGAAGGCAACAGGTACATCATTGTCGATCGATCTTCGATTTTCCTACGGAATATCCCAGTCGTGCCTACGGTACAACGATCCGGTACTCACACGGTACTCACAGAACCGGTACAGGTTCCGCACCTCTGTTCCGAAAGCAAGCCGGCGTGATAGATCCAACCGGATCCTCACATTTTCGATCGAAACGGGAACTTGACTCGACTGACTGACTCAAAGGAACCCGGAAATCCTCGAGGATACGTGGCTCCGTACCGATCGATTGATCGCTCCGTAACAGTCTATTCCAGCCACTCGGAGCAACACGAGAACACCTTTCAAACTGTTTCAGAGTATTCCAAGGGCATCAGTGTGTCCAGCAGCCTTCAATTGGTCATCCACCAACAGTGCAAGGCTTCAAGTCACCTTTTGGGTTTTCTGTGCTTGTGTTTGTGCAGTGCCTCTCCAGCCACACATACACACACCAACACCAACAATACTCATCCAACCGGTACCCTTCCAAGGAACAGCAGGCAACACCACTACACTACCACCACACTACTACACTGTCTAGCCAGCGCACCAATCATCATGGGCCGCAAGAAGAAGAAGCAACAGCAGGAAATGGATGCCAGTGACACCATGTCACTAGCAGCATCCAATGGCACCAACACACAGGACAACACCAACAGATCCACTACTGCAGAGGCACCAGCTCCAGTTCCAGCTCCTGCCAGAACACCTGTGGATCCCCCAGGCTGTTTGTTACCACCACACCACAGTGCCACCTCCAGCTTGGCTTCCTCCACCAATCTAGCCAACCATGACACAACAACAACAACAATGATCAGCCAACAACTTGAGCAGCTGACATTGGCATTGACAGAGGCATCAAAGCAAGCTGCCCTTGATCCTTGCAATGCACCTCCCCTCCATGGCATACTATTCCATGGCTCTATTCCTAGAACACCTGTGTTATCACTCAAGCCCAGCCCTGAGATAAAGGCTGGAAGGACCGATTCAGAACCAGGCAGTTTGGAACAGAGCTTGTTGGGTGATGTTAGGGACCCTCTTGGTTATCCATTCCAACTGCATGTTGCCATGGATGTTGCCTCTCCACCTATTGGAGATGGCTACTATGACCAAGTATGGGCCCCCAATGGGGAGGAATACCGATGAGATTATGCCATAGGAGCCATAGTATGGGTGCGGCGCAGCTGTGCTGGCTCAGTCTGGTGGAAAGATCGCTGCTGCATCTGTACACTCTTTCAGTACAATGAGCTGTGTCACCATCAGACAAGATAGGAACAGCTGTAGAGGACATAGAGTTCCTCTGCAAGGAAAGGATGATGCAGTTCCTCAGCCATGACTATCTAGAAAGATAGCTTGGTATATACCAGCCAAAAGAGATGCATGGATCTGTATTCTGCATGGCTGGATGGAGTTTCACGCAAAATCAGATTTGTGTTCATATTATAGTTTAAAGAAGTAATGAAGAAGTAGTTGACCTGAGAAACAGACCCAACAGACAAGTAGAGCTCTGCAGTAGACAGGATCCCGTATGGCAGTGCCAGGGTATTGAGCAATTAGACTGTTCAACATTGCTTCACAGTGATTGAATAGCAATGGCTGCCAGCCTTGGGTGGCCTTTCCAGCGCCAGGTGAAGGAGATCTCCACCAAACAGGCTCTCCATCCCAGCTCTTGTGCACCTACCAGGTGAGTTCCTTTGGAATTCATAGGTTAACTTGTCGCAAGCACAAAAGAGTGGCTAGTGTGGAAATCGAGTGAAGAAGAGGAAAGAGGAGACCAATGGCGATCGGACTGCCGACGGATCGAGACCGAAAACTGGAATCGTGACCGATTCGAGTGGAACCACCTGGTGGAACCAGTAAGTCAAGGGCGCTCTACAAGCTACCGGTGGATCAGCTTGTTAATGCGCTTGGTACGGCGCGCGAGTCAAAGGCATCGACATCCTCCAACAAGGAAATTTCGATTGAACCACCAATCGACGCGAACGGTAATCGCGACGATTGACTCAAACCAAGCGGTCACCTACAACGCTGAGGGTGCTTGAGACGATACCAGCCAGTTTCTTGTTAATCGGCTTGGTTACGGCTGCCGAAGTGGAAGGAAAGACATACATTGTCGATCCTTTCTTTTCCTACGGGAATCCCAGTCGTGCCTCCGGAGTACGGTGCGGGGAACCGGTACTCACAAGGGCTATCAGAACGGTCCGCAACTCGAGGTTTCTGTTGAAAGCAAGCCGGCGTTCGGCGATAACGGCCTCACTTTTTCGAAGATATTCCGAACTACATGGCCGTACGAAGATACCAATGTTCCGAGTCTTCAGGAGAAACTCTGACGCACCACGAGAACACCTTCCAGTCGGTTTTTCGAAGGTTCAAGGGTATCAGTGCGTAGCAGCCTCTGTTTAGT